AACTAGAAGTGTGAGAAATGTTGTTACCATGGTTATTTAATGCCCTTGACTATGAATGCAAATATAAATTTATTATAATTCTATAAAATGATACTGTTAAATTTGCTAGTATTTTCACAGAAAGCTTGGCACTGGTAGATTTGATATTTGTTACTGGCCACCATTTTGTTTGCAACTTTATATTTATTTGTTTGCAATATTATATTGGTGTGAGATTGTAATAGTACATGTATAGGTTTCAAAGATCCATTAGCTTGTCATGTATTGCTGTACGTAGGTCCAACTAATCCTCCTGAATATGTATCCTATATAATCTCTGCCTTGAGCGTGACGGCATTGTATCCTACTATTAAGATGGACTTTGTAAATTTTGTGGAAATTTAGAAACACAAAATTGTTTGGATTATTTTGCATGTATTTTATTACCAACTTCAAAATATGTAGCTTTTATGAACTTACATGGAGATGACATAATGAATTCTAGGAAGTCTGATATACAGGTATTCTCATTTATGTATTCCATATATCGATAATAATATAATTTGCTTATTAATAAATTTTGCTGTATGTGAATCTGCCTGGTTCAGTACTTAGGAGGATGCTGTCATTTGAGAAATTTGGATCAAGGTGCGAGAATGAATACTCTCTAAATTAGATGCATTTGGTATTAAGTGCATTAACAGAATTGCCTTTTATTGCCATTTATGGAACTCGAGTGACCTCGTTGTGAACAGGTCAGCTTTACGATGACACTTGCTAATGCTCTGTCAAAATAGTTTGTAGCCAAGTAATAGAGATAATGTGTTCATTAATGGGATGTCCATTACTGATGTTACTAAGCAGCATATTGACAGTGTTTTGGTGCGTGTCATTTCAATAACTGTAATGAAATATGGGAATAGTGTGTACCATATTAAAAGCTGTCATTATGTTGCTGTAATTTCTATAGTGCAGCCATCAATCAAGTTTTTTGCAAAAACTATATTTGAAATAAACAACAAAAACATACTACAGTATGAGAGAAATAAACGTATACTGTACAAATATGGGTCACTTGTTCACAATTGTTCAAACCAGGGAATCCAAACAAGATAGGTTATGAGCATTGTATTAGCTTTGATATTGGTACTACATTGTATGTGGCTATTTTGGGTAAATATCTCAAATTACAATTCAAGAAAGACTTGCCTTGTATAATAATATTGTTTTTGTATACACGGTGTATTCTTGGAGATCAGTAGGCATTTTTTTTGTGTGTGAAAAAATGAAAGTAATACAGAGACTTGGCCTTTCTCGAAATGTGAACTGTTTACCACTTGATTTCTAATTATTG